CACCCAGCACACAGAGCGAGATTCACTGACGGACAGAAAAGTCCATTACTAAAATCTGTTTTTGCAATAAATCTCGCCTGTGCTGACCAATGAAGACAGTTATTGAATCAAAGTGCTGGAAGAAAATAATCTTTTATAGGATGTTGGAGCTTTGTCAGGCATTTTAGAGTTGATTCCAATTTGTCTGGCTATTTTTTCCAACAGTGGACACAGCGGCAGGGAAAAGCAGGTCATCTGAACGGCAGAAATCGGAATGCTGCCCACAGGACCCAACTCCCCCAGACCGTGTCTGCTTCCTTATGCCAGAAGGGGCATCAATATTAGAATGACAAACATTTCTTCTGTGGCTGCTTAGCTGAGAAAAGGGTCATTTGGAGAACTTAAGTCCTTTGCTCTGATTATTGACTTTGCATATGCGTTATAAAAAAAGTGACCTCAAAAGTACTTTGCCATAATACTGAATTCTTTACCGGGCTACACTTAATAGTGGTATTTAATACTTGTTCTTTTCAGAGACACAGGATGAGGAAGGACCTCTCTAGACACCAAATCTTCTCCTTTCCCGGCTGAAGTTTCACCTTGCTTTTCATCCCAGACAGGGATCTCTCAAAGGCTGCAGGACCAGTTGCAGATTTATTCCCTCCCTCATCTACCAGTTGGGAGAATAAAACTGACAATTAACTACGATCTTGGCCAACATGGTGAGACAGATAAAATGGGAAAAGCTCATTTAACCCAGTATATTATGAGCTGTGGACAGTCCAGAGGAAGTTTTTCTTTTTTTTCAGATCAGTTTATACTACATTAATTTATACAAAGCTAAACTGAAAAAAAGCCCTCTGTCAAGGTGAAAACCAGTGATCACAAAAGTATACAAGTCTGTTGGTTAAATTATACAAGTATAACTGCCTGCCTTTTCCTCTGTGAATAAAACCCAAAGCACCATAGATGAGTGGCATGGACAGAAACCCTGCTCCTGTCTCTAAACATTGGACATCAGGGTCTCCATTGCAGCACGAGTCCCACAGCAAAGAAACAGTCAAGGCTTGAATTCAGGTACCTGAAAGTCTTTCAAAATTACGTGGGCGTCATACAGTGACTGTAAGCACAGCAAGCGCTAATCAGCCTCACAGCCCTCTTTTCTTACAGCGGCCACAAAACATTGAAATCTTCCTGAGGCACCATTAAGACCCTCAGGATGTGACTGATATAATTTGCCAGCAATTTAACCCCTCTGTTGCCAATGCCAACACCAGACACACCGCTTAGTGAACGTCCCACCGGTGCTCGGAGGGCTGCACCATCAATGCCAGACATGTGTCTTTTCTTCATCCGCAGGGCTCATGCGATTTCAGTTTAGAGCTTAAAATACTCTGTGGCACAACTCCTGAGTAAAGGCCCCTGTTGTAACCCACTACAGAGAAGTTACCTGGCTTCAGTGGGACGAAGATGTCTTTTTGCCAATTTCACCCGCTGGCATTTTTGCACCCAGGCTTGTTCCGTCTTGGCACAGCGATTCTGGCACGTGCTGCTGTCATGCTGCCCTGCTAGGCCTTGCAGGAGCTCCCAGCTGGCAGCAGCATGTGGCAAGACCAAAACCAACAAGTAACAGGGCTGCCATCAAGACCTTTCCTCAACGGGCTTGATATTCTCTCTGTTTCAACGGTGTAATGCTGCTAAGCTTGCTTCTGGTTCCCACGCACCTAGGAGCCTTCTTGCCAAAGATTTGTGACTCAAACAACAAACCTCGTGAATGGGAAGAAACCACAGGTGTGCTGGGAAGGGGCGTCGGGTGGAGGTTTATGACCTGACGGCCGTGGGACCCCAGGAATCCCGTTTGCCGCAACATGATCTAGCAATTCCGATCATGGCTCTCCCAAAGTTGCTCCACTTACTTTGTCGGCGGCTGTGAGTCGTGTCCAGGGTTTGTCCGCCCTCCTGTCGTAGTCCTGCGCGTCGGCCACTTCCACGTAGTCACTGAAGCGGATGAGGATCTTCCTCTCACGCAGCTCTTCTACTGTGGGCCTTTGACTCAGCTGCAGGTTTGAGGAAGGAGTGGAAAAGGACATCAGGACTGCACTTTTTCCCTGCAGAGTGCTGCTTGGGGATTTATTTTACTGCAACCACTGCTATGATAATAAGAGGGTTCAGACATTCCCGGTACCATTGTTTTTAACCGACCTGTCACAGAACTGCTGCTTGGGAGATAACCTCTGGTTATAGCACCTTGAATATGATCCCACCTTGCTGCTGGAGCAGCCCACTGTTGCTTGGGAAGCAGCTGTGGCTGGAGGCCCCAGTCCCTGGCTGAGGCTGATCACCCCTGACAGAAATGAGATGTAATGCAAAAAAAGTCCCCTCGTGCACCAATGTCTCAGCAAGAGATGAAGACCACAACACAACTTTAAAACTACTCGCACAGGCTGTACGCTCCCCAGCCTTGAGCTGCTGTCTGTGCTTCTGTGCTACCTGCGAAGAGTCAGGCAAAGGCAAAGGCACCGAGCAGCTCCTGCCCTAGATTATGTGTCAAAGGTGACAAACGACCTCCCTTACCACTCTGATATTCTGCAGACTTGTCCTTACCCCAACCGAGGGCAGGCAGGACGATGACTAGTGTTCATGGAACTTGTCACTGCATGCTGCAGCTCTATTTTGTGTCACAGCGTATTTGCCTTTCAACAGTTTACATTGCATACTACAAGCCAAGAAAAAAAATGGCAAGGGTGGATTGTGTCATGTCAAGAAAGCATCTTCACCGTTCCAAGGCATTTCAAATTCCACAGCAGAATAGGCAGCCACAGTGAGAACTCTCCTCTCAAATTAGGAACAGTAGTGTGCTGGTAGTCCACGTACTGTACAGGCAGTTACATGGCTAGGGACCCGAACTGGCTTTCGGGGATCAATTCGCCTTGGATGCACAGCATGCTGGCTAATGTCAAAAGCAATCACAACACTTTTTCTGAAGAAGGTGCTACCGCTACGTGTGCATGTGGCTGTACATTAGCTGCAAAAGTTTCACTAGTAGAGTGAAAGATTTGTAATCATGATACATCAGGAATAATACTAGTGCTAACAATTAGCTACACTATTCCCACTCACTAGAAACAGGTGTGTTTTGCAATACTTCAACCATGTGAATAGTGAAAGGTCTAAACATTTCATAAAATGCTTGAGACTCTCTTCTGCAAAGTTATTCAAGCTCCTGAATGCTGACATGCAATTCCACCTTCCTCCCAAATTAAGTATCTTAGTTGCCTGCATTTCATCTTCCAGGGAGAATGAAGGTTCAAAACAGCCGGGATGCTAAGTGGAGGGTGAAAAATCCCACCTTTCTCCAGCATTTGGGTGCTGCTGCAAGACAGCTCCACTGCCCCATCCTGCCTCTGGCTTTAAATCTCTGTGTGCTGGTTCTTGGCATGGATGGTTGCTTCTCTCTCCTCTTTTTAGAAAGGACGGTTGTGACGGGAGAGGACAGCGGGGCTGCTCTCCTGACGCCGACAGCCTTGGGCGTGCACTCACAAGCCGGGTTCAAGCCCCTCACGCCGACAGCCTGCAGAGCTGCCCTAATGCCCCGCCGGTGAGATGCTCAGCAGGACAGGGCTCGGGCTCTACCCCTCCCGGCTGCAGCCCAGCCGTTTTGCACACACCAAAGGCAGAGACATCGCGGCATGAAAGCGTAACCAGGAGCACAGCTCTGCCCTCGGCCACGCAACGGCTTTGCCTAGGACAGCTGGCATCAGTCAGGTCGCAGGCTGGCAGTTGACATGTTGTCTCCAAAGCCATTTTAGGATAAATTACGACATTTAATGGGGGGGGAAAAACTCCTTGCTGGTTTGAAAAAGAACAACTTCAAAACTTCTGAATATTGCAAAGATCTTAAAACTAGACAGTTTTCTCACACCCACCTTCTTCTATGGGAGGCGTGACGTTTCCTGGGGCGCACTGCTCTGCATGTGGTTGTCATACAATGTTCCTCCTATTTATTCCAAAAGCTTCCCGAGAAAAGCCCCATTTCCTATACCCACGTTCAGGCCAGCCATGCTCAGCTCAGCCAAAGCGCGTGCATGCAGTGGGGTTAGCAAGACGCGTGCCTTTCTGACCTCAGACTACCTGTTTTGGGGACCTTTTTTAAAAAAAAGCAAAAGGCATACACAGCAGGCATAGCTTTTTGGCTTTTTTTAGACACCAGGATAAACATATCTCTGAGCTAGAGTACCATGTCAGGAAAGCCCAAGGGCACGATAAAGTAGATTGAAGCAGGTACAGATTTAAAAATGTTATTTTTCATTCTAGCAGAACAGAATTGCCTCTTTAGCCTGCAGCCCTGATACCTACTACCTAAGTCACCTGCAAGCCAAATACCCACTGCAATTAATAGACAGGCTTTTAACAAAAGCAAAAAACCCAAAGTGCTGTACTTTGAGGAGAAGGCAGGCGGCTGTTGACACACTGAACCACGCAGTGCCAGGCTGCCATTCCACCTAGGTGGTGTCAAGAAGCCAAGAGCATCCACAGAGGTGGTGGTGCTTCTGCTGGCAATGTGAATTCATTGCTGGTATTTACCCCAGGGCTGCACTGGGTCTTAAACAGCTGATTTGGCTTCCTTGGCGCACCGGGTGCGGGTTAAAATCAAACAAATGATGGTAAATGTTAAGGGTCACATGATGAAACAAGACGCATCCGAGGGAAGTTCTCCTGTTCGCAAATGCACAAAAATCAAAGCAGGTGCCTCATCTGCACATTCTACATCACTGAAACGCACTGTAACCCTTCGGTGGGTGTGAAGAACAGTGCACTGAATTACGCGTGAAAAAATGTCAAGGGCACAAGCAGATTATGAAGCTTTGGTATGAATCGTTCTTAGGTGACACCTGAACACAAGACAGACTAAAAGCTGCTGCTTCTCTTCCTCTGACACCATAAAACTATTACTGTATATTATTTTTAGATGCCCTGCCTTTGCTTCAGAAGCCTACACCCAGTGCAGTTTCAGGTCCTTATCCACCCATCGGAGCGGTGGGCTGTGCCTCCATCCCTGCAGAGCCGCTGGAGCAAGGGAAGCGCAGAGACCGGGCAACAGCTCAAGGTGACCCAGGAGGCCTGAGGCAGAGCTACGAACAGTGAAAAGATGCCCTGACTCTTGTGCCAGTGCTCTGGCTGTGAAAGAGAGTCCCAAAATCCACATAGCTCATGTGTAGCCATAAATCTCCATATATTTACATATATAAATACACACACACAAAATATATCCAGTACGTTAAACCAAGGTGCCAACCTGATCATACTAAATGTAAAGAGAGGGACAATCACACCAAGTGGTTTTCTAAAAGCAATTAATGAAAGCTATATTATTTGAACAGTTAACGAACTGCCCTGCCTCTTTCTCGTGCCACTGCAGAGATTTCTTGTGCGCTGCTAAGCGTGAGGGTCTCCCAGTATGTCTGGGCTTCCCAGAGCACCCTTAACTCTTAAATAGCTGGGGAAACAGCTCGGCCGAACAGGCCCTAGGCGGCTCCCCTGGAGGTACCACTTCAGTGTCTGTTCACGTTGAGGGCACAGCTCACCTGCGATCTCACCTTGGAGGTTATTTTTACGACCGGTGAGCTGTGGTCTCTTGGTCAAAATTTTTCTAACAGGCACATTCGAAACTTACAGTAAAAGGACACGGTCAAGGACACGATGCAATTGCCTGCACAAGGCGCTGGTGCTCCACGCAGGGAGAAAGGGCTCTTACTCACTGAGCTGGACCCCTTTTTACTTTACTTCAGTTAATGTCAAAGGGACGTGGATGTGTGCATCTGGACCTCTCCTGGGTGTGCCACCTGGGCACATACATTTCTACTTACCTATTCGTGAAGGTGTGTGGGCTGAGGGAGCAGGATAACTTTATGGCGAGCGACCTCATTATTTGAGTGTGAGCCAGGGCAAAAATCCCTTTTGAAGTAAATGGATTTGTATTAATGCAAAAGCAATGTAAATGAGGACAGGACCTCCCATGTCTCATCACGGGAGGTCAAGTTTTCCTCTATATATTCTGAATCATGGGAGGTAAAAATGGGCACGTTTCAAGCTTTGATACTAAGCCAATTTGCAAGGGAAAGTTTAACACAGCCCCCTTTGTTCTTGGCATGGGAAAGGAAGGAAACCCAAGCATTGCCACCAGGTAAAGCGGAGGGGACGTACTCTTGCCAGTCTGGCCTTGGGATTTAGTCAAATGCGAAATGCTGCGCTTGCTCCACTTCAGTCACAATGAAGCTTGTTGTCTTGACACTTCATCATTGCCTGCTTTGTTATAGCTCATTAAAATCTTATGGTTGTTGTTTAAGGAAGAAACCAAGGTGAAAAATTGCAGATCCTAACAAGCAGCACACACAACGCCCTCTCTCCTTTGCTCTCCGCCTGTTGTGGTAAGACATAGGAGCAGGATGTGATGAAAATGCCCTGAAGACCTTTCCCTCTGACTATGAATGCAGTTTATCCAAATTAGCTGCTAACCTTCCTTCTTCGCTGACCTCTCCCCTCCCCACTCCCTCCCTCTGACGAGCCCCACCTCTCTCAAGAGTTCACTACTTTGAACAGCCTGTGCTGATGCAAACCAGCGGAGGGCAATTAAAGAAAAGATTGAACAGCAAGACATTTCCCAGTGAGGCACCAGTGAACAGGCAGTTTAAGTTGTACCAGGGCAGGAATTTAAAGGGAGCAAAGATTTCAGATTATTGCATGGATTTTAAGAAAATGCCACACCTCATCATTTTGGTTGTCAATCTAACAGCTATGAAATTTTTCATTTTGGAGCTAGACCTCTGGGAAAAATTAGCTATTGGGAGATAGGAAGCGGTAAACAGCTCTGGGGAATGGGCCTGATGCTATTTGAGAGAAGAGAAGGTAGAATAAGAAGAGTTTTATTCCTCTTTGCAAGTGATTTGAAACGTGTTCTGTTAATCCAGGCTGTGATTCTCTCCCTGTCTCTAATGGAAATCCTCAGGAGGAGTTCAGGCTTGTGTTAATTGCCTTGGTGCTCGGCCAAATTCACCGTGGTTCAGAAAGGATAAATTCTTGGGAGTAATTCCTGGGGGCCCAGATCTCCTTGTGGAGGGGACCCACCTGCAACACTTCTCCCAGAGGGCCTCCGCACACTAACGTTCCCCGAATGGGCTTGTGGGCCAAGACCAGTGCTCAAAGAAAAACCCTTCCTAATCCACTCAAATGACAAGTCCGTGTGCCCGAAGCTGCTCGGAGGGCCCCGAGGGGCAGGGAGAGGGAGCAGAGGGGAGGCTGGATGTGCAGAACCCATCCACGGGCATCGCAGGCGACAGGCAAATGCACTTCAGCTCTTCTTCCTTGGTCAGGAGGGATGTGAGCTACAGAGAAACTGTACCCAACAGCATTTGCCTCCATTTAGTTCCTTCAATGGCAGCTATTCCCTATCCTCAGTTAATTTGGAGTTAGCTGAGTCTGAGAGGATGAAAAGTGCTTAAAAGGGGCAGCTCGCTATAGGTCACCTGGTTTTTAAAAAATTATTTTTTAGAAATTGCCTGTCCAGATGATGAATTCAACTGGATATTTATTGCTGACTTTAATAAGGCACCTAGACCTAGCAAGGTAATCTTACTTATTACAGCATGTGGTGTTACAACTTATCATCATACTGCCGTAACAAAATGTCAGTGCTGAAGGAATTTTAAGAACAGCTTTTTAATGGACAAAGTGGGTTGTTCTCTTGGAGTTGGAATGACGCCACCAAAAAAAAATTGGGGACAGTAGCAAGACTTGCACTTTCTATAGTGCAAGGTCAAAAGCCCTGTCTTCTGCAGAACCCCCTTCCCTTCTTATTACCAACATCACAGGGTGCCAAGGAGGCACCGTGCCATACCTGCCTTGCGCTGCATCTACCCTTGGGGCGTGTGTGTGCATTAAAACTCCGTGCAAACAGAAAGGTCCGCGGGGCAAAACGCTTGCCGTGCTCAATTAAACTTCTGCTTGATCTGAGGTTTAAAATCCTTTGGTAATCAGACTTCAGTACCAATCGACAGCAGGAGCCTGCCTTTCTGCTGCAGACACCACGACGCATCTGGGACCTGCTCATGAAAGGCAGAGCTGGGGAATAACAACTATTTTTTGCACGATTCGTTAGGTGGCTGGCATTTCTAGTTGTTATCTATCCACTTGCACACTTCAGTCCCTTCTTTCCCCTAGTGATTTCTGAGCTTTTATGACAGCATGTTTTTGGTAGGTGAGAACAAAATTTGTCGTTAGACCAGGCCTGTGGTTCTTTCATTAAAATTACAGGTGTCACTAGAACAATTTACAGCAGTTTAAAAAGATGATCAAAATCAAACAATGCCAAGTCATGTTGCTACCAACCTCACAAATGTGGGGGGAGAAAAATCTTTACTAGGGAAGAAGCCACAAAAGGCTAAAAGGAATGTGACCGGGAACAGGGCTACGAACATTAAAGAGCCGACTGCCAGGGGCTCGGACTGATGCTGCGCTCGCTGTTGTGCCTACTTAAAAGTGCAAAGAAGACAAAGACTGAAATCTCAAAGAAAAGTGTGGAGGTTGCAGGGAGCAGACACTGCTGCGATGCTGTAGCAGCCTGGGCGTTTCGGTTGCGCACGTGGCTGTGGCCTCTGCCCACCGCAGACCGCTCACGTGCTTCGTGCCTTTCCGACCGACCAGCCGAGGGTGGGAACTGTGCCGCGGGAACGCCGGCTGAGGTGGCAAGCCCTCACTTCTTAGGCAGCAGCCTGGGTACGGGTAGCTTTGCTTTTTCTCTATTACAGCCATTCATCAAATAGCATCAAGCTTTGGATTGGATTGCTGTATGTGTTTACCCTTTAATGTACAGGGAAATCAAAAGCCTGGTAAAACGGTATTTCTAGCCTCTGCGCAGAGCCTAAGTCCCGTGAAACATCTGCAATGCAGTTGTTACGATCTTTTCTTTCAGGCAGTGCTACGAAGGGATGTGAGACCATCTCCTGCGATTGTTGTCAGGAATTTAAGTGTTTTAAAAATAATATTACAGCTCCTCAGGTCGCATTCTTAGCTCCTGCAGACACCAGCAGTGTCCCCCACCGGTGACCGAGAACTCTGCTGATTTACGTGAGCTGAGAATAAGACATGAGATTTTTAACCACGAAAGCAAGCAGTCCAGCTCTCTGAACGTAACCTTTCCATGTATATTTTGAGCCCTTTCCTTGTCGTCATTCATACCAGGAAAGGTCAAAAAGACTAAGCTACCTAAAAAAGTACAGGAAGGGATTGATGCTGCTTCACAAGCGTGTGAGTTTTTAGGGGGCTTTCTCCGCCTCTGGAGATAGGAACTATGTCAGTGGTGAAATGAAGTTAATCTGCACCAACAGGACGGGTTGGTGGTTATGCGTGTTGGGACATCTGTGGACATTTACACCAGCTGCAAAACTGAGCATGTGGATCTGAAATGACTGTTCTTCTGTTTTAAGAGTAAATGACTTTCAAAAGGGAGGAAAAACCAAAACCAAACTATGCTGTTTTCTTTGTCCTTCCCTGCCAACATAAGATTATTTTCTGCATTATAAACCATTTTGCAAGTGCTTGTTTCTATTTAAATGCCTCAAGTGACAATGTCCCTTTCCAGAAAAAGTTTATTTCCCAGTTTTATGCTTTTTTTAGGTGGAATTTTCAAATGCAATCAGTATTGTTTTAACTTTGCTCTCTTCGCAATGGCTGCAGAAGCCATTACGTTTACAGGGAGCGGGGTTAGACCAACGCTAGGCTCTCTGTCCTTCACTGTTCAAAGCTCCTTTGGTTAGGAAGACTAGATCTTCTTTTGTCTTGTTTCAAAATGTTACCAGCAACAGCCCGCAGTGGTTCCCTTTGCTCTCTGTGGACTTACACCGTGTAACACTGGTGATTTCTTTTAAAGTTTTCTTTAAAGACTTGTTTCACACTCTACTTTCAAAAACGGTGCTGAGGAAAAGGAAAAAGGGAAACAGCTGTGCAGGAGGGAGAAAGTTACAGTAGCATCATAACACGCTCAAAGTTGCTTCTCACCTTACGTGTTAATCTTCTCTTTATCTCTCGTTTTTCCTCCTGCTCCTCTTGCTCATTCCGGGCTGTAAAAGATTTACAAGGATCTCAGGCTGTGGACTCGTCAGGCATGCACAGTATACAACAAAATAAGCCTCTCCATCAGTATATTAATGTTTCAGGACCTCTCTGATGCACAGAGTGTCCCTCTGGGGCTGGTGAACTCCCTTGATCCGTAGCTACCGTGCTCCTTCATACACTTCATAAAGCATCTACAGCCTCCTTCCTTTCCCTGTGTTGGCACCTGGCCATGTGTGTCACTTTCCAGACGGGCAGGCAGGAGCCAGCTCTTCAGAAGCAGCTCTATCTCCCTGCCCACAGCCCGCCTGCCTCGGCCGGGTCGGCTACGGTACCGTCCGATTCTGCCAGGCTGCAAGGGCAATGGTTGGAAAAGAAACACAGGCCTTTTTTTTTTTTCCCCCATCTACAGAACGATTTCTTGGAGCTACTCTTTGGAGAGAATGGGGAAAAAAAAAATCAGAATAGGGGTGTCAGGCAAAATCTGCAAGTTCTCATGACCTCAGTAGAGTAAGGAGAGAGCGTCCTTCCATCGTGAGCCTTCACAGCACCCCACTGGAGCATAAAAGCACATCCCGAGGCAATTCACTTTCAACACTAAGGCAAAAGCTCACATTACAAATTCTTACCAGGGCAAGCCTCAACCATTATCCCTCAAGAGGACAATAACAGTTGAGTACACTAACTCTTCTTCAACTTAGGAGCAGGCTCTCATGCATGCCTTTGCACTGAACTTTACTGAAAGTCACTAAAAGCCCAGGTTTCTAGGTACTCAGCTCCTCCGTCAGTCAGGAGCTGTTTCCACTGCTTCGCTGACGGTTGAACTGCTCCTTACTCCAACCAGCCTGCGCATAACAGACGACAGCAAACACAACTCATCAGCTTTTCCAACAAGTAACCTGTGCCCCTGGTGTACACTCAGATAGGACTAGCTCAGGCAGGAATAACTCTCTGCAGGGGAGATTATGGACCCTGAAGGCTGGTTTGGGATAGGCGGCTTGATTTAAATTGCCCAACTTTGGACTGAATTAAAGACAAGGGGGAATCCCACATTCCTCTCTGCTGATCCTACGGGAGAAGCAGGCACCGCTGGCAGAGTGGCAGTAATAAACCGACAGCCGTGACTTCTTCAGCCATGAGCGCACAGGTCAGCACTCCCACTAACCAACTGGGACAAGCCAAAAATAATACAAGCAGGTCCTAACCCAACAGAAGTCTGCCCACAGTGGAGGAGATGCAATGTTTCAAACCAATGCATTGAAAATTGGGGCTTTCCCCAGACAGAAATAAGACCGAAGGTTGAGGGACCACAGAAGTCTCCGAGCAGGTGAGGCGGGCTAGGCTGGAAGCCAGGTTTCTCGGGGCTCAGGACAGTAGAGCTGCCAGGTCTATCACATCAAAAAAGCAGGACTGGCAAATCTCCACCAAAGTGAACAAAGAGCCAGTCAGTTACGATGTTTTACAATATGCTTCTGATCTTTAAATGCCATTTTACCAAAAATACTGCTTACATTTTCAGAAGGAAGGAAACTGATACTGGAGTAAAAAGAACAGAAGACAGCAGGGAGTCACAAACGGCTTTTTAAATGGTAACGGGAATACCTACGCTGATAAATATATTTCCTCTTTCAGTGGTTCCTGTCCCTACTGGGCTGGATTCTCTTCTAGCAATTGCTCCTCTAGCAATTTCATTCTTTGCTTTGTATCTCAAATTTGGGGGAGCTGGTCCTGCAAATGCCTCCTTTCAGAATCAATCCTTGTAAGACTAAGCCAGAGAGGCACAGCACTAAACAGAGCCCGCACAGAGTCAGGGTAGAACTGCAAGCAGCCGAGGAGGTATGTATAAAACTTAATTACAGCCACTAGTTTTTGTATTTGGCATACGATGCCTTCCTTTTCTCCTCATGTCTCCACCCAGCCACCCACCTTCCGAGACAGCCAGACAGGCTGAAGACCTCAGTCAGGTAAAAGCTGGGAATTAGGAACACATTCTCCTTTGAAACCAGAAAGTGACTTTGTTTTAGCTATTTCTTTAAGTGAATTAAGTCATGCCAATCTTGTGAAGCTACAAAACGGTTGTGTTATTTTACCTTATGCATTCAGGAGATGCTCTCTTTCTCCAGGCCTGTGTCTGCGAGGTGGGTGGGTATGGGTGTGATTTTCAGGCCTGATTTCTGTCAGTGTGAAATGTCACCCAGTACAGTCTGAGACCCCCAGAGCCTACCTAACCATCATTTTTGTGAAGTATTTATGCAACTCTGAATGTGCCAGGCTGACAACTGAACTACTTGTATCCATCTGAGAAGTGGCAGGGGCACGGTGTGTGAGCGGGATTGAGGCACCCTTCTCATCAACGCGGCCAGCAAGTATTAACTGCAAAAAGTGTTCTTTAGTCTTCATACTAACCCTGCAGGTCTGGACTCTTCGCTCTACATGCTTTTGACTTAAATAAGAGTCAGTGAATTGGGTATACTGCAGTGAAGGACCCTTCAAGCACCAGTGTCCCTGTTCTCCGTTTCTCTGCCGTGACCTTCTTGTTGCTACCAGCAAGTAGTGGAACTTGTGCAAGGGATGCTCTGCTCGTGTAATTCAACAAAGATGACCATCTCGTAATTATTGCAGCAGCATGGAGCTAGGAAGTGATCACTTCATGTGTAAAGACTGGCTGTCCAACCACATTTTGCCTCATTCCTTACCATCAGAATGGGCAATAATGCGGTTACACATGTAACAGGAACATCATGGTACCAGACATGATATATGCATCAAGGAGATTTCAGCTTTAACTGCAGAGGAAATTCTATATTTAGTGTACTTGGGAGCTTGCTGGGTTTTCTTTGTGTTTATGTATGTGTGTGCGCGCGTGCGTGCATGCTCTGAACTGGGCTTTTGCAAATTGCTTGACCTGCTTACGCAGAGAATTTAAACTCTTTTCACTATTGCTTCCTACATCTCTTTTTCTCTAGGCTTCATTAATTTATTATAATTCTCCTTCTCAGAAGTCTAGGGAAAGGACACAAAGTGATGTACAAATCAGACACTGCTTATATTTACTTAAGGGTGAAGCATTTTTATGCTTTTTAAAAAATTATGTAACTATTTCAATTTTTTGCTCCTTTCTTGCTGTGCTTCACCAAAAGTTGGGATGTCTGGGAAACACCACATTACTTTTTCCTGTAATTATGAAGCTGTTTGTCTACCAAGACACATATGTTCTAGGGCAGATCTGTGCTTAGGAACCAAGCTACGAAAATTCCATTTGGGAAATACAGTATAGTTCTGGATTCAGGGTAATGTTTTCAAACACATCCGTGTCATTTAAGTGCCTTCAAAAAGAAACTAATGTGACCTAGGGGGTAACTCCTCCGAAATGTAAGGCATCTTCAGGTTGCTCCGTGACTGCCGCACTCGGCAACGTGACCTTCAGGAATCTCTGCCAGGCACCCAGTGTTGGAGATGCTGCCTCTCTGCTGATGCTGGTTCAAACGCTGCTGCCAAAGCAGCTGGCCCAGACCCCCACTGCCTCCGAGCCACCCTCACCAGTGCCAGGGCAGCGTTTGCTGGTCATGTACCAGTGCCAGGTGGTGCACAACACGTGTTTGTTCATAACTCCCAGGATGACAACATGAGCTGCCCAGAGAATTGGCCTCTGTCACTCCCTGCCTGCGCCTGGCATCAGTCACGTCGCAGGTTCCCCCTCCTCCAGCTGTTCTGCTCCCCCCCCCGCCTCCCATGAGACAATCACATCTGGATGTGCCACCTATTTCCCCAGGTGCTGCCCCTGACTTCCTCCAGGAGCCGGTCACGGGCGTTAGGAGTAGCGGGTAGGAGCACAGCTCTCCAAGGGGGCTGGCCCCAAGCAAGCGGCTTTTCTGGCAGCCTCGGGCTCGCCCATGCCACTCTGCCGTCCAGGCCATTCTCCTCTTTGCACGGACAGTGGCGTCTCTCTCTTTGGCTGCCACGTGTAATAACATGAACAGATGAAAAACACCCTGCTGAGTGTTAACACTATCATTGACTTGCTAGGAATTTGATTTTGAAGTATTTAATCAATCAATTCTGCTAATTTTCAGAGAATTAATCTTCTGCTACCGCATCTTTATGATTCTGTACAATGCAGCTATTGGAATAACAAGAGAAGGTAAATTAGGGACCTACCTAAGGAGACATTATGTAGAAGGTACCATTTAGGAATGCTTTTTTATGTAGTCTTTTTTATAATTTCCCTGGAATGATGCATTTACTAACTTAAAAAGGGACGAATTTGTTTCTTTTGTTTTCCGTTTCCAAAGTAAAAACAACTAGATCAACAGTTTGTTTTTTTTTTTTAAATACTCAAACCACTTCAATGTGAGTAAAGAAACTGTCATTTTTTTCCTATTCATTCATGAGATTATGAGATTTGTGCCAGACTCAGTCCTGCTTCCCTTGAAGCTGGTGGCAATGTATCTACTAACTTAACTCAGATCAGGGTCTCTAAATGCTATTTTGTCCCTTCAAAATATCATTTAACATTTTGAGGATCTACCAGCAAGTTTTTGGCTGATTTAAAGGAAGAGTTTCAGGGGAACATTTCAGGGAAATAATCCCGAGTCACACTGGTTTCTTTTTTAACTGAATGAAGGCTCCACCTAGTCTAGATTGCTGTGAAAATTTTTATGAAAACTAATCAAGCCATGCCCTAATATCTTTACTAATTGATAATGGGATGCTCATCTGTGTAAGAAAGAGTTGCATAAAGGCTTTTCAGAACGACTAACCCTCTGTTTGGGACAGGACTTGCAAAAGAGATTCAACGTCTCGTTTTTTGTCCCCATAGATTGTTCATTCTTGTGAATTTACTGACTGTGATTTTAAAGAATTGTTTCTGCAGCTCTGGATGTTGCTACAGACTTGCATGCTTATTAGCATTTATGATGCACTTTATCATTAGTATGATGCACATACAGAATAGTTGACGTTTTATGAAAACACCCAACATACATCTAAACTAACCCAAACTAGCTGGCTTCAGGTTAAATGTCAGTAGTATCAAGACTTACGTTTCAGTATGTTCCTCTGCTCCAATTCTTCAGCAGTTGGCCTCTGGCTCAGTCGTCTGCGAAAAAAGTCCAAGATCAGTTTTTGGACCATATCACATTCTCCTCAGTTCTCTGTCTTGTGTTATTTTGGGGTGTGAAAGGCAGAGCAGAAAGCACTGACACTGCTCCATTATGTACTTGGTACGCCCGGACCATGCGTGACACAGACCGTGCTTCGCTTTCGCAGTTTCCTCTGTTTTCAACTCACGAAAGACAAAATACGTTATGTCATCTTAGGCATGACTCTCCCAGCCCTAGCCCAGGCAGAGCTGCCGAAAGCTAAGCTACACAGATGTCTCCACTTAATTTCCTGCTTCCCATGCCTGCTTCCTGACTCGTGCAAGTATTTCCAGCTCAGACCCAGCTAACCCTCTCGCTGCCCTCTCGCCAGCCTCCCAACTGCGCCCCGTTTGTTCAAACAGTGTTTGAACACACACACAGTCCACAGAAAAAACAAGGGATGGTTTGGCAGTGCTGAGGGCAGAACAATAGCAGCCCTCCTCCTCCTTCTCCTCTGCACTCTCGCTTCCCTCCTCCTCCTCTCGTGGCTTTTATTAAATCTTATATTGAAGGATCAGCGTGACTTGCTAGTCAACCTGTAGTTAACAGGGTCACAAAACCCACAATCTAATTACAAACGGGGACTCTGAGCACAGAAATGGCCTGAATATTCAGAATACAAAGGAAGGGAGAGAAGCACAAAGGGGTCTTTGGAAAACCAAGTAAACCAGGGAGATGACATCAGAATTCAGCACTGTTGGCCCTCCTCATACTCTCCTCTGAGTCAATGGGTGTTTTGTCAATGATGCCAGTGATAGGACAGAGCCTCCTCTTCCTTCGGACGTGGTCATTCAGAGACGTTCCAACTTGGGGGCCCCAGTCCCTGCCAGCTGGATCATCAGTTCCCCTCTGAGGTACTGGGTACTGACTGGAAACGTCATACAAACGCCGTCTGCGTGGCTTCATCTTCTGCACCGAATGCTTCCCTGGCCCGGGGCACCGCAGCTCACTGAAATGGGGCTGGCTCTGCGAGGCCGGACGAGCGGTGTCTGACAACGGCCCCTCTCAGCCCGGGGCCTGAGAGGCCGCTCAGAGACGCGCACACCCCCCCAGCCTCCTCCAGAGCCAGGAGCCCACCTCTGCGGCAGGCCCCTACCCCTGCCCCTCACATCCCGCGCGGCGCACAGGGCGGAAGCACGTGGGCTGGGCAGGAGCCCACCCCTGCACCAGCTGCACGAAGGCAGAAGGGCTGCAGGCACCTGATCGTTACACAGCCTGAAGGTTTCCATCAGCAGGGGTGATCCCAGCCCTACGGCCTTTGGGGCCACTTTACACCACGAAAACAGCAGAACATGGCCCCGTTCCAGTGGAGAATTTGGAGTCGTTAGCTTTGTCTCTTTCCCATGGCAGATTGAACATTTACCTCATTGGGAAAGTGTTGAAAAGGACAGAAACTCATCCTTAATTCAGAAGTAAAGAAAGTCTGCAAAGTACTTTGAAGACAGAAAGTGCTATTCAAGTGCTTGCTATTACCATCTTTAAGATACAGTAGCTGTTGCTAATCAGAAGCTTCACCTTAGGACTATGAAGCAATTAAAACTACTTTATTTCTAGCAAACCAAAGAGAAAAAGTTGCCACTCTTGGCCCCACCCTGTGTGTCTGTAGGAATTGAGTTACACGCTGGTTTTAACCCACCGCACCGTGATGCTTTTCAAGAGGATGCATCAGAGGGATGTTAGGGACGGACTCCAGCCATACGGTGTGTGGCTGCTTCTATAGAAACAAACATCACACAACAAGTAAAAGGGGAAATTAGTCTGAAGACAGTCCTCCCCTTTCCAAGAAAAGAGGGACTGAAGGACTCAGCTAACAGTTCTGTCAAGGACAGCTCACACTGGAGCATTTCTAACAAAAGGCCGAAGTTTTATCTATCTCCAGAGGTGATTTACAAAAAGGACCAAGACTTCCATGTGTTTACTGGGGTACCTGCCATGAAGTGGATGCATTTAAACCAAGCTTTCACTTCACTGTGTCATTGCTTCCACACAAGAGGGCAGAGATTTCTTCCAAGTACGCCCCTGGTATCACAGGCACTCTCTACTCCTGTGCTGCTCAGAGACCTACAGACTGTGGGATTCTTCCTCATGCTGCCTGGTAGGGCCCCTAGTGAAAGCCAGCCAAGAATACCTGTATTCCCCACTGAGAGTCAAATTATTTTATAGATCCCATTATCCACCCTTTTCAGGCTGCAGAGTGCTCCTGCCTAAACGATGACCACCATTTTCAAGCGATGCGCTTATACGGCAGAAAAAGCCATGACGCTTTTGATGGGTTCATTCCGGAGATCTGAAGCTATCTGCATTCATGGGTTGTCGATCACCCAGAGGGACTCCTACAAACCCAAGAATTTTTAATAGCAAGACTTAGGCAGTAGGAAAAGACAAGGTACTCTTGTAGTGGAACAAGATCATGACTAGTCCTTGCAGGGCAAGCAGTGAAGCACAGCTGGAGGATGAAGAAGTAAATAAATAGAAGCTGTGGAGGTTCCTGGCCTCCAGTACCAGTGTCTCTTTTCACCTCCATGAACTGCTGTTACGTCCCCTTTTCTATCGCCCTTTTGGCCTGACTGAGCCTGCTCCTGTGAGTCCCTCCTTGGTGAGCTCCTCAAACCAAGCCAGCCCCTTCCCCAGCCCCTCCCTTCCAAGCTCTCACAATTATCTCTTTTCTTGGTCTCTTGCTCTTTTAGTTTCATTTCTTTTGCTGCTACAGTGACTTCTGCCCCTAAACTATCTTTGGGCTTTACAAACAACTCCTCCAGCTCCTCAGAACAGCGTCATTTTACTTCTTTTTTTCTTGCCTCTTAACTTCTAGGTTTGCCAGATGTTGAGCAGCTGTTAACGTTACCATGTTTGAAAATCCTGATACTAGTTACAGATCCTGTAAATCAAGAAACGTAAGCACCTATTGCTTTGTTACCATGGCTGCAAAGATACAGGGTTTCTCACACCAAATTTCAGTATACCATCTCCAGTGCGCCGCTCAGATCGTGGCAAACACCAGCCGTGATGTCTCCCCTCTTCTACCTTCCTTCTTGGGCTGCCAGAATAAAAAACCATTAATAAAGCCCACCTAGCTTTCAGAGGTTGATTTCAGTGGTTTGATTGCTGCTGTGCCTTATTTCGTTTAACATCACAGGGGCTGCAGGAGGCTGTCAAGGGGCCAGAGGTCAGGTAACAAATGTCTCATTAGCAGCACAATCAGAATAAACAGGAGAAAATGGAGGTGAGGAAGGAGGCTGGTGCAACAGCAGAGCAGAGATCTGCTTGTGTAAGCTGTCAGAACGGAGCGGGACGTGCGGTGCTGCTGCTGACCAGGGAGGTCACTCCAGCTGTGCCATGGAGCCGTACCAGCACAGGGGTCTGACCAAGGAATGGCCAAGACAGGCCTTAAAAAGTAACATCCTTTAACAGCCCTTTCTGTATCTAAAATCTCTTGTGTGAACATGCTTGACCTTCGCTGTGCATTGCATGCTGTTTTGCAATAAGCTTCAGGCATTCAAGGGGATAGGAAAGTTTGGTTTTGGTAATTTGTGCTTTGCATTGTATTGCTTGGTTTATACTTCACATGTTTTTGCAATATTGTTAATAGCGGTTTTGCAAAAACACTGACAAAGGTTTTACTACAAAGAAAACCTTCCTAAGATTTATGGTGACATAAAGAAAGCCTTGCTAGGATTTCACTGAAAAAATTATATCCAAATGAGAGTTGTCAGTGAAAAATAAAACAGTTTGCACACATTTACAAAGATAAATTTGACAGCAGACCAATTTTCTGAATTAATTTCCTGCATGATCAAAACGCACCACACTCTTTATGCTAGAACTATACAAGAGCTGAGCCGCTCTTCATAAGGACTTGTGGTGGGGGTTTTTTGTTGGTGGTTTTTTTTTTTTTTTCAATTCACTCTTGGCTGGGCACGTCATGGTGGATGAGTAGGAGTATGGGGGCAGGAGGGACAATCATGCAAAATCAATTGCTGTAGACCTAAAATATTGGGTGGTGGGGGTGTAATCTCTTCAGGGAGCCAGAGGAAAGAAAGGCAGCATTTTCACTGATGGATGCTACTGTTTGGAGCTTGCCCAGCAATCTGAGAACTCAGAATGGGAACTTTCTGCTCCATATGGCAGTGTCCCGTAGGAGCAATGAAAGGAAAACCAGGCCATACATCTCCCCAGGCAATACAAAACACTTAAATAAAGAGCCGACACAGCGATGCTTACCCTGCTCTGCAGTGTGGCCATATCCAGAGGGCTGTCAGGGCAGTGGCCAACTGGTTGTGGGGCTGAGGGTCAGATTCGTGCAGCCCTTTGGTCAGTTAGCACCTGTGAAGCAAGGCACTCCTGGCTGCCTAGCCTGTCCCCTACCAGGAGTCAGGGGTTTTCTCTTCTTCATCTCTTGTTTTGTTGTGGATGAGCTCTGCGAAAGAGCTAGTTAATGCCATCCAGCTGGTTGTTATGTGAACAGGATGGTGCTGGATATGTGTTTTCTGGCTACCAGGAATTCATCTTTGCCTCTGCTAGACTATGTGAACAGGATGGTGCTGGATATATGTTTTCTGGGTACCAGGAATTCATCTTTGCCTCTGCTAGAGGGCAAGAAAATCTAAGAGCTTAGTATGGGGTCATCTGCAAGTATAATGGCTGGATATAGTACAGGGCTTGCTGGAAAATGATGCCCTGTACACTTGCCAGGCTTACTAACTCTGAGCATTCGCAGGTACGAAGCAGAACCCAGCAGCTCTCTGGTGCTTGAACGGTGGCATCAGGTGTGCGCGACCCAAGAGCAGGACTGATGGGCAAACAGGTCACGGGGTGGTCACAACAGGGCATGCAGCAGTACGGTGAGGTGTCCAGAACATCACCAAAACACCTCTGAGCCCAGCCACGCTCACAAAGCTGTTCCTAATGACTCGAGTTACCCTGATGTAAAATAACTTCTCAGCACAGTGGGGCATAA